CGGGTGCTGTTGGCAAAATACATTAATGCGCCTATAGCACTCATATATGGCACTTCAGGGCCAAGTATTTCTTTATTTTCCTATTTTGGTCTAAATGGATCCTTTATTGGATCGAGTGCTCTGACGATCATTAAGGTACTTTGCAGATGTGACTTATCCATAAGAAATTGTTTTAGTACCATTTTGGTATAATTTGATTGGTGGATAAAGATTCCACTTTCCAAGTGCTCAATTTGCAGACCAAGGCAAAATTTAGTTTTTCCAAAATCTTTGATCTTAAACTCTTTTTTCAGATATTCAACAACTTTCTGGATTTCATCAGGAGTTCCAATTAAATTGTGATCATCGACATACACAACGATAATTACAAATTCTGACCCATTTTTCATTATGAAAACACATGGACAGATAGGGTCATTTATGTAACATTCTTTTGTTAAGCTTTCGCTGAGACGATTGTACCACATTCGGCCTGATTGCTTGAGCCCGTGCAAAGATTTTTGCAATTCGATGGAATATGATTCTTTTGGCTTTGATTTAAATGATTCGGGTATGTTAATCCCTTCTGGGATTTTTATGTAAACGTCATTGTCTAGGGAGCCATAAAGATAGGCAGTAACCACATCCATTAATCACATATCAAGATTATTGTGTACTTCCAGGCTCACCAGATACCTGAATGTTATTCCATCCATGACCGGCGAATACGTCTCTTCAAAGTCAATGCCCGGTCTCTAGGAAAAACCCTAGGCTACAAGCCTTTCTTTATATCTTGTGATATCATTAATTTCATTTCTTGTTCTCACAAATACCCATCTGTAGCCAACATGTTTCACATTTTCAGGTGTTTGGACTATAGGGCCAAATACTTGTCGTTTATTCAATTAGTCTAATTTAGACTTAATTGCGTCTTTCCATTTTGCCCAATCATCTCTTTGCCGACATTCGTCAACTGATTTTGGTTCATAATCCTTGTCATCTTTCATAATATCGAATATTACAGAATATGCAAATGCATTATCAATATACGTTTTCTTTCTGTTCCAATATTTTCCACTGATGATATAGGTAAAAGAAGTTTCAATAACTTCATCCTCACTTTTATCAGAATTTTAAGTATCAACCTCTTCAGGGATTGTCCTGACCTTTTCAGGTATCTGATCATTGTTGATATTTTCACCAGTATTTAATTTTCTTCTTTCGTGGATTCTTATCCTTGGAACCCAACGACCTGCCATGTTTTACGCGGGCAGTATGCTCATTAGCATTCGACACCTTCCCTTCTAGGATATTTATTTTAACTGGTGCATTTGCTGCTGCAATATATAATTTCATAACTTTGGCAGCATCATTAAAAGCATCAGGAAATTGATTTGCAATTTTCTGCAAATGCACAATTATTTGAACTTCAAGTTCACTATGTTTCGTACGATGATCAAATTCAAGTGGTATTTTCCACGAAATTTCTTTTTTCAGTTGATTATTGTCTCCTCCTAATTTCGGGAAATGAGATTCATCAAAATGACAGTCTACAAATCTTGCAACAAATAAATCACCCGTTGTTGGTTCAAGATATTTCGCAATCGAAGGTGATTCATACCCTGCATATATACCCAACCTTCTTTGAGGCCCCATTTTGTGCGTTGAGGTGGCGCAATTGGCACATAAACAGCACACCCAAAAAATTCGCAAGTGAGATATATTTGGTACTTTTCCAGATACCAATTGAGTAGGGGAATAACAGTGATAACTTGTCGGTCTTATTTTCACGAGCGTTGTTGCATGCAATATAGCATGTCCCCAAGCTGATACGAAAATTTTAGACCTCATTAACAATGGTCTAGCAATTAATTGCAATCTTTTGATGAGGGATTCAACGAGGCCATTTTGCGTATGTACGTGAGGAATAGAATGTTCCACAGTAATCCCAATTGACACGCAATAATCATCAAATGTATGTGATGAATACTCTCCAGCATTATCTAAACGTATTTTCTTTATCGGGTAATCTGGAAATTGTGCTCGCAATTTAATTATTTGTGCAAGTAGTCTAGCGAAAGCTAGATTGCGAGTAGATAGCAGGCATACGTATGACCATTGCGTTGACGCGTCGATTAGTACCATAAAGTACTTAAGGGTCCACACGGTGGATCTATTGGTCCACAAATATCACCCTGAATTCTTTTCAGAAAAGCTGGGGATTCAAATCCAACATTTGTTAGAGATGGCCTGATTATCAACTTCCCTTTGGAACAGGCAACACAAGCAAACTCATTCGGACTCAAAATATTTTTCTTTTTCAATGAATGACCATTTGAATTTTTAACAATTCGCCTCAGCATTACATTGTCAGGATGCCCAAGTCGATCATGCCAAATTTTAAATCCACTAGCAGCCATTTGGTCTACTATGTGATATATTTCAACGGCACAGACTTTTGAATAATATAAGCCGGAAGAAAATGATGAAAATTTTTCTTTCACAATTCTTTTGCCATTCACAATCTGAGTTATCAAGAGATACTTATTTCCTGCCTCATTCAATGTTTCAATGTGATACCTATTTTTCCGAATATCACTGAAGCTCAGTAAACTCCTTCGAGCTTTGCTCGAGACCAAGGCATTTTCAATTGCCATTTTTGTCCCTTTTGGGAGAAATACAGTAGGTTTTATGAGCCTTCAATCATTTTTTATACACCACTGATAGTAACAATAGTGGTGTTTCCCATATTCAGATGGGAGAAATAACATTTGTTTTATAGAATGTTGTGAGTTGTAGCACTATCGATAAGACCGATGTTGTCATCGGCTCCAAAATATTTGGCATCCATATCTATGCAAAAATGTAAAAATAATAAAAGACATGTATTAGTAACATAATCAAAATAGACTTATATTATAGGATGTAATACAAAAATGGGGCAGAAAACATCAAAGTACCAAAAGAGATACAACAACATTTTATCATATAACATCATCAACTATGTCAAGCAGATCATCGGCATCCAGGTGCGTTTCATCACATCGTCAAATGTGTCATCGTGGACAGCGTGATTTGTTTCGGAGGCAATTCTTCTCTGCCTTTCTTTTGAGGCCCGATACAGTTCAGTCAAGTGACTGGCTGTGCGACAAACATGGGCCCAATGGCCTTTGATTCCACACCGGGTGCATTTCTCGTCATTATTTCTGTTTCTCCCGGTGTTGAACCTTTGGTGAGGTTTGTACGGCCTTCTGTCATTATAACACCAATTTGGCACATATCGGGGCCTGTTTTGATAATTATTGTGATCATATGTGTTTGTCTGGCCCCGTCCGCGATTCTGATTTTGATCGCGATCGCGATCAATTCGTTGATTTCTGACCTGCCCACGGCCATGCACCTGATTTGCCAATTGTATTGCATTTGCCTATGGAAATGGGTTTGCAACTGTCGGCCGAGATTCGTGATTTTTCAACAGCAATTTGTTATTTTGTTCGGCCAGCAAAAGACAGGTGATCAGCTCAAAATATTTCTGGAAGCCTCTTTCGTGATACTGTTGCTGCAAAACCATGTTAGAGGCATGAAAAGTGGAGAAACTTTTCTCCATCATATCAGATTCAAATATATTAGCGGCGCAGCTGTGATGTTATTTTAAACATTGCAGAATTATATTCTTGGACTGTTTTAAAGTCCTGAAGCCGTAGGCTTTGTCATTCGCTTAATGCCCTTGGCAACAATGTCAGTCTCAAATGATCATATCTTTCTTTCAATCTCTCCCGCAATTCAAGTTGGGATTCCAGCGTGACATACTGCATTTTTAGTGCCTCATCGATGTAATGACACAAAAATATCGTAGTTTTTGCACGATCTTGGCTCGGGGAATTTTTATCCCGGACAATGATATTTTCCAAGCTCATTGGCGCTAAATGCATTTTCACGTTACGAGCCCATGCTATATAATTTTGGCTAGAAACGAGGAGAGAGAGAAATTCCTATTTGACAATATTAGACATAATAAACAAATAAAATATAAAATATTACCTTGTGAAAAATAAAATATATAATCGTGGTAATAACGTGTTATAATATTATTATAGGATTAGCCAATAGAAATATTAATTATTTTTACCGATAACTACTATTTTATATATGCTATAAATATATATATTATAGATACAAATCTATTAAGTGTATATATGCATGTGCCCGTGTGAATGCATTAAATATGTATAATGATTACAAATATATCTAATGTGTATTAATTATTATTATATGTATGTAGGTAGAATATACAAGGTAAATGAATGAGTAAGAGAGTAAAGCAGTCTTTTCATTTTAATGAATTCCAACATTTATAGGCAAATAACGAATGCGGCTAAAATTATTTCAACGTTTAGCCTACGTATATGATTCGTGCCATCAACATAAGCATCCACACTTTATTTACGTTAGATATATGTATATACTTCCTGTACATTTCATAACAGCAGTCTATTTATTTACATTACAATATTATATTTATTTTTCTTATATTACTTTTTCCGTTCTACATATCATGTCTACATTGCCGTTTCTGTCCATCTCACATACCATGTCACTTTCTTTTTTTGGAAAATGATTACACACTTTAATTTCATTTTAAACTTTTTAATTTTGTTTTTTTTTAATTTTAATTAAATTAATTAGTTATCTTAATCTTAATTTATAATTATTTATATTATTAAATAATTATTTTCACTAATATATTTTTAATTATCTACTAATTATACTCTTACTAAAATATGGTGTCTAGCCGACAGGAAGAAGGTAGTATTAATTATTTTCAAAACTGATTTCACACCATTCAAAAAAACAACCTTAACTTATTTGTTAGAGCATTTATAAAAAAATTTGGGATTGGACCGATATGGACCCTATAGACTACGCGTGCTCATTTATGACAGTAGGCAAAAAATTAGTTGCGCCGCCCAGGGGTATATTCGTAAATTCGCCCCATTATCCGATAGATCGTCCACGTCATGTGATCGTACGTGACGCATTTGCTGAATACAGATTTGAAGATTTTCAGCGGAGACGAAATACGGAGGGTGCGGAGAAGATGCTCGAGCTTTGAAAGAGGCAGAAAATCAATAGAGGAGATGAAGATCGAATACATGGAGGAAGAGTTTGCGGAGGGTGAAGGAAGAAATCAATGTGCTGAATCTGAAGAAGGAAGAGACCAAGGGGACATAGATAAGAATCAGTCCAAATGCGATGGAAGAGGTAGCGGTTCAGCTACGGTGGGTGGGTATAATAAGGATAAACCTCCAGAAGACGATTGCTGCCCCATTTGTTTTGATGAGTTTCGCTTTCCGTGCAGGACGAGCTGTGGCCACTGGTTTTGCTGTGAGTTCTCTCTAATCTCTATTATTGTTTGATAGTTCCTTGATTGATTTTGCACATTTATTTTTTCCTAGTCTTGTGTTCGAAGGTGGAGAAGTATTGGACGTTTGTTTTGGGGGGGGGGGGGGGGGGGTTTAATTCGGACGCTCTTCGTACATATTTAGGGATTTGGGAATTTCAGCAGTAAGGAGGCTAGGGTTCCAGCTTTGAGTGTTTCTATATAAACATATATTAATTTATTTAATTTTTGTAAGATTATGGATAGACACCAACATCGATTAGTAATAACTAGAGTTTGCTTGTGTTGTAAGTGGGATTGGGTGAAATCAGAAGCAATGTTGAATAGTTCATACTTTTCATTGCCATAATTGGATTTCTCTTTAAATATTTCCACTATTTATGTCAAAATATTTGCAAAGTGAACATTGCTGTTGCCCAAGGTCAGCAACAAACTAATGTGCCAAATAATGTGCATTCTTTAACGGATTCAATGAAATATAATCTTCCTTTTATGGGCGAAACGCCTTGTATTGCAAGCTATGGATAGTGACTTTGTGCTCATGTGTGCGTTAAAATATTATGCATATGTTGAGGCATTTCTATTATATTACAAGTGTTTGTGTCGTTTGACAGCCAACTGCATTTGGGAACTCTGGAGATACTCGACGAGTGTGAAACCATGCAAGTGTCCTATGTGTAACTGTGTAGTAGCTAAGCTGGTCCTGGACTCATCTGTGTTGAGCCAAACTGGAGTCGAAGTTGGCAAAATAATAAAAAACATTGAGCGGTATAATCGCCTTGCTGGTGGAGGTTGGGCTGGCTTATTTCAGGTGGGTAATGTATAACTGTTTGTATTTTTGCGAACATGGTATTGTTTAGCTCTCCATATAGGTTTACTAAAGTCTATTTCTTATCATGTTAAAATTCTCTAACCTTAAGTAGTCGGTTGTCTCTTGCCAAATTTTAAGTTGCTGGTGTTAATTAAATTGATTGCTGTATGAATATATGATTGGTATAATGTTTTAATTGTTTTTTAAAAACTATTCCGAAGTTTGCTATGAAAGTATAAATGGCATTCCAAAAATGCAGAGCTTGACCATGAGTTATTTATGCTGTTTTGACATGTTATGCAGTTATTGTTGGCCGTTGCGAAACTGGCTAGAAAATGCATTCCTTGACATTTATATACTTGCAGAAAACTCTAGAATTGCCCATGCTTGTCAGGAGGAGGTCACGGGAATATCTAAGTCCGCTGATGCTGAGAAATATCTATAATGTTGCCCGTTTGATTGGCGTAAGTTTGTTTAAACACTTCTTAATCACCTCATTTTGATTTAAGGAATCTAAGTTGAAGCATTTTCGAATAATGGGATCTGAAATGTCTGCATCTATAAGATTAATGTGAAACAACCCGTAAAATTTCCTTTTCTTTTGATGTTCAAGGTAAACTTCCACGGCAATATTTACCATCATAAAAAATTTGTTGCAGCTATTGCTGGGCATGCTCTATGATTCCTACAATTTTCGATTCTTTCCAAAAGGTAAGTTTCTGTATTTACATGTGTGCCCTTATTCTTGAACGTTGGAAGTTTGGCATTGCACTTTCTACTACGCACCATTCTGGATTAAGCTACTTGATTGCTTTGGATCTAATAATTTAAGAGGATGGTGGTTGGCAGGCGGGCTGGGGATACAGTTAGTTTTTGAGATGTGCGGCTACACCCTCGTCATGTTCCTCATTTTGGATGCGATATGGTACCACTGGATGCTTAGACAACACGCTAGGCATTTGGCTCAGCACCCTGAGCTAGAATAGCATATATGGAGTGACTAAGCAGAGGTTGATTTCAGGTGTGTGCCGTGCTCCCATTGTTGTTTTGCACCGGATGTGTATAGAAGCTTCCCGACTATACGAATGAGTTAAATAACTAGTTGCCACGCGACAAAAGAACTTACCATGTATGTATGTATGCATGCAAGTCAATATCTGGTTGTTTGTATAAATAAATATCTTAGAGAATAATGAAATTTAGGGAGTTGCTATGAGTTCTTTTGCAAGGCAAGTGTTGGCTTAATGATGATGATGAGCCTATTGGGTATTTTCCATTTCCTGCTTAGTCATTGTTTAGTTTGAGAAGTGGTTTGTTTTGTAGGGAAATAATTAGGAGATGAGATGAGTCGGGTTTGTTTAGATAGGAGTTTTTTGAAAATTTGGAAGTTTGGAAAAAATAAAAAATTAGTATTTGATTTGATATTTTGTGAGAGAAAAAGTATATTTGATGTGATATTTTTTTAAGAATGAATAGTGTCCGAATTGGCTTCTTCTTCCTCTTCCTCCTAATGAAACTTGCAATTTATTTGTTTTATTTAGATTGGAGTTGGAGTTTTGATTTAAGAGTTGTCTCTCAAATGGAAATGATGACCATAGCATAGCAGTCATAGTGTAGTCCTCAGTTACTCAGTCAGTCCTGGAGAACCCCCCCATCCCATCCCTTCCTATGCATGCCCAATTCAAATTTATATACATTGGAATTATAGTATCAATTTTTACTTTGTAAATAGTTGTAAATATATATATATATATATATTAACGTATAATCCCATTTGTGTATAAAATTGGCAAGAGAAAAAAAAAAGTAATCCTATCTCCGTTCTGTTTTTATTTACTTTTTGTATATCGATATTTGAATATTAATTATTATATAAAAATATAGTACAAATTAAGCACCAAAAATATTTTCATTAGTGTCTGATAGAAAGACATTTGTAAAAAAAATAAAAAAAATTATACAAATATAAAGATATTTTTAATGTTAAGTACAATTACGCAAAACATAAATGACCAATCCAATGCGAGGAGGCCAGGACCGACATGTCTATGGGTGTTTTGTCTGCTGGAGCAAGGATCACTATGCTAGAGATTGTCCGAGTCAAGGAGACATTGTGGTGTTGGACGTGCCGCCGGAGGCAACAGAAGGCGTAATTGGTCGGATAGTTCCTCCTCGAGCACCTTCCTGTCAGCCTAGCAATTCCTCAATGCTCACGAGACCCTTAGAGAAAAAGTATAGAGTATAAAATAAATTATAACTAATAAAAAATAATATTAGAAAAACAACTTTGACATTTATATTTAAAATTAAATTAGATTATAAATTTTAGCAAAAATTGTTGATGTTATTTGGCTTGTCAGAGTAATATTATTTATTCTAATTTTTTTATAACTTATTTGATTTTTATTCAAACAAAAATTATATTCAATTAGATTAATGGTTTAATTAATTGGTTTGATTAATTAGGTCATCCACATCGTTGAGTTTCTCCCATAAGTCAGATTAAAAAGAAAAAAAATTAAAAATCAAATTTTTTCATGTCAGGGTGTAGGGTCGGTTACTTTTGCAGCGTTGGCGTAAAACTCTGACATGGGAATAATTTTAATTGGAACACATGACAAAAAAAACTATTTATTTTTAGTTATCTTTTATACACTTTATTTTTATTATATATATTTATGAATAATTTATATATTTTTATACTTTATAAAATTTTATTCTTTATAAAATGATACCAATATTGATATATTTTTGTTTAATAAAATTTTAATTAAATATAATCAATTAATAATAATAACAATTTAATTTTCTAATTATCTTATAATTTATTCATTAAATTACACAAATAATTAAAATATATATAATTACTGAATATGTAGTTGAAATTTAAAAATAAAACTAAAACTAAAACTAATATAAATTACAACATTGGATGTAAAACATATCGTAATAATATTAAAATCGCAAATAGGACAACATACATATTAACCTAGAAAATAAAATATGAAAATTAATAAACATAACAACATACATAATAACCTAGAAAATAGAATATTAAAAGCAATGAATATAACAACATAGATAATTAAAAAATTCGTTGAATAATTTGGTCTTCAATTTTTTTTCGTCTGCATCGAAATTTTCACCTCTTGCCAACAATATATTAAATATTTCAAACTTTTTTGCTTGGATAAAATCAATATTCTTTTCATTTTGTCTTCTCTCATATCAACAATTCTATAAGTTTTGCATTTTAAGCTTTCATCTCTCTAAAATCCTCGTAAAAAATATGTTTTGAATCTTGCTTTTGTACTCGTTTTACCTTATTTTTGCAAGTTGTGACACCTGGGGACGAATAAGATGTGATTCATCAAAAGTGTCATTTTGTGGTGTTGGAGGATTTGAACCTGATGAATATCCACTAGTTTTGTTGATTTTGGTTCTCTTCTAACCACCACTACTACCATGATACGCTCCACTAGCACAATAATTGTATGTCATTTTGGTTCATGTTTCAACACACGTCATGCATGCTCATATGTGAAATACGTACGATAATCGGCACAATATATTTCGTATGTCTTGTTTAAGGCATCATTATTAGATTGTTCACTATGTTTTCTTTGGTCAGCTTACTCGTAACAACCAACAAATTTTGAATAAATAAATATGAATAGATATGTATATTAGATAAAAAAAATTATTATTATTTAAATTATTTTAAAAATAGATAATTTAATAATATGGAGGAAAGAAAAATTAAAATTTGTGTAAATAAGTTTCTTTGATGGAGGTATAAAATGAAATGAGTCTCTCCGATGACGTGGCGTCATCGGAGAGAAAATATGACATGGAAGAGAGGAGAGGGAGAGGGAGAGGGAGAGGGAAGAAACACATGTTGGGTTTCATTGATGCGGATGACCTTAGATATATGGTTCCGTTTACACAATATTTTTAGATGAATTGATTATAAAAATTATACTTCTTCCGTCTCATAACTAGGTATCCGATTGCTTTTTGCACGTAGTTTTAGAAATATTAGTATTATATTGAAATGTAGTAGGAATAAAGTAGAAACGACTAAAATAACCTTACTAGTATTGTGTGATATAAATGTAATGACATTTGTGTATTATATTGTAAGTTGTAAATGTATTTGTAATGTTAGGTAGATAGCACACTTATTAAAAAAAGAAATTAATGTTTTGTTATAAGACGGACTAAAATGGAAAAATAGATAGTTCACTAAAAAAAATAATATATTTGTAACGGAATTCCGTCCCTAAAGTTCACGTAGCTAACGTAATTCCATTCTTAATTCCGTCTCTAATGTGATTAGTAACGGAAAAAGTAGATTTAGAGACAAAAAAGTTTTGTTACGCAGTGGTTATGGGATGGAGGGAGTTTTTGTTTTGTAACGATATTTGAAAGATTTTTTATTTTTTTTACTTTTTTATTTTTGTAAAAAGTATTTTGTATTTTTAATATTCCCTCCGTCCACCTCTAAGGTCATATTTACATTTTGCATTATTGTACTTTATATTAAATATATCTTTATATTTGTATAATGTTTTATACAAATGTTCTTCTATTAGTATTATAAGACAATAATAAAAGTATTTTTATTTTTATTAATTTATACTATATTGATATAATAACTAATATTTAAAGATAAAAAATAAACGAGACTCCCAGATCTAGAAGTAGTATTATTTTTAGTAATCCCATTTGAAAATTACTAAGAGTTAGTTGTTTATGTTGGAACGTTGGTAAAACACTTGTTAATTTTTAAGTTTTTTTTTATATATGAGTTGACAATTAAGAATATTTTTATATATTATATTTTTAGATTTTATGTATATTATGTTAAATATTGATTAGTTTATTATTTTATTAAAAATACATATTTGTAATATAACATTTATATGAAAAAATTATATATAAAAATAAATTAGTAGCAATTTGTATAAATTAGTAGCAATTTAATTATTAAATCTTAGAATGATTTTATTTGAAAAAAAAAAAACCATAGTATAACAAAGAAGAAGATATAATACAGCAAATATTGTAGAACAGAAAACAATAGTGGATAATGAACCCCCCTAGGCATGTCATACCATGAAAAAAAATACAAGTTCAAAATGTTAATTTAAAATATTTAAATATATAATTTTTTTTTGAAAATTTAAGGTGTATTTTTTCATATGTGATTTGAGAATTTTTACTGTTTAGTCACTATAGGATCAGGTTTAGGCGCCAATCCTCCCTGCACCACATACTCCGACAACACTAGGATATAGTTTGAATTTTTATTTTTATTTTATTTAACGTAAATTTTCAACTTCTATTTTCACCACCAAGCGTCGAAGAGCACAATCCATATGAGGGAGACGCCCCGATGACGGAGAGTTCAAAGGCAAACGCAATTCGAGGTGACGAGCGTTGGCCTGCTCGGCTCGTCGGCTCCTACCCAACTGTCTAAGTTGGAAAGGCATCAACGAAACAAGGTATGCCTCTCTTCGGGGATTGCCGTTGCTTTCCACGTAATAGTAGGGTTGATTGATCTGCATCTACGCTGATGACGAAAGTTACGAGGGCAGAAGGAAGAAGAAGAAGAATAATAAAGGAAAATACAGGAAGAAAATAAAAAGAAGAAGATGAGAAAGAAGGAGAAAAAGAAGTTAGAAGAAGTGGAAGAAAAAAAAAATTGAGGAGAAGAAGAAGACAACAAAGAAAAGCAGCTGCTATCGAGAGCAAAATGGTGATTTTTTTTTTATTTTTTTAATATATTTATAATTAAAAATAATATATTATAAATTAAAATAATATTATTATTAATAATAAAAATATTGCATCTAATAAATTATTTTAAAAAATTAATTTATCAAAAATTTAAAATAATTGTTTGACTGATTAAACAATATTTTTCAAAAAAAGCCTAAGTATACCTTATAGAAAACTATATAGTTCTATTTCATTTTATTACAATACTTTTACAGTTCTATATATATATATATATATATAAATTTGTACTTCATGTTATTTAAGGTAAATTATTTAATTAATTAATTATAATGAGGTATAATATTATTTTATTATATTTTTATATGAGTAATATTGTTAGTAATTTTAAAATAAGAATTAATATATATTTAAATATTTGAAATATTATATCTCAATAAAAATATATGCAATATAGATATAATTTTGTAAAAAATAAAATTTTAAATAATATAAATAAATTAATATATATTTATTTATTTATAATTAAGATAATTTAATTTTATAAAAAGTAAGAATTTTAAATATAGATAAATATATATATTTATGAAGAAATATAGAAATAAAAAGATTTTGAGTGGGTCTGTATGTTATATATTATAAAATTAATTAAGTTGATTTATAGCTATTAAATTTGTTTAAATTTATTAAATTTTACCAAAAAAAAAGGTGTAAATCGAAGTAAGAC